TCACAGCTCACAGCAACCTCCAACTCCTGGGCTCAAGCGAGTCTCCTGCCTCTGCCTCCCAAGTAGCTGGGACCACAGGCGCCCGCTACAACGCCCGGCTATTTTTTGGTTGCAGCCATCATTGTTGTTTGGCGGGTCCGGGCTAGGGATTCGAACCTGCCACCTTGGGTGTACGTGGCTGGCGCCTTAGCCGGTTGAGCTATAGGCGCCGAGCCTCTTCTCTAGGTTTTATATTAGTCCTTTTTATTACTCAACCTAGACAAGGCTAGAACATAATAACCTAATTTTATCAGGTAGGGAGAGATGAAAAATTGTAGCCAGCTTCACCTAAAAGAGTGTTCACAATTGAGTCAAGTAATAACTCTTGGGAACATTATATAATTTCTGATTCAGTAGCTGAATCTTTTTTTTTATTTCTTATCTATATGGATGGAATTGGAAAATGTTCTTCTTAGCAAAGTATCTCAAGAATGGAAGAAAAAGTATCCAATTCGGAGTATCTTACTAGAGACAAGAATGATTAATTCCCAGATTGCTCCTCTGAAAAAAAAAATCTCTATATGATATTCCTGGTATCCCTAAGGAGGGAAGTATAATTTTAGGGACATTCGGACAAAATCTGTATACAATGTGCTTAGATGAAACTTATAGTCTGTTTTAGAGATGAAATGAAGGATGTGGTAGCTATTGCTCTGACAAAGGATTTTTGGCTAATGCAGTGTATGGATTTTGATTTTATGATTTATCTTATCTTACAGTGTCTATGTATCAGTTGACTTGTGAAAACAGTGTGTACAACTTCCAATTTGTCTTGTTAACAGTAGAGGTGAGAAGGATGGAAGCTGCTTTATGAAGGCCACCAAAATGAACGAGATTTTCCTTTCTTCACACAGATTTCCTTCTAGAGTGCCAAGACCTTTTCCATTCAACACCTCAGTCATGTACAAAAAGACTGTGTTTGTAGAGTTCACGGATCACCTTTTCAACATCGCCAAGCCCAAGCCATCCTGGATGGGTATGAAAACAATGTTGAATGTTAATTATGAAACTGGGTATCTTATTTTCCTATCCAAGATTCCTCAATCTTCAGGTTTCAGTTAAAGAAGGAAGCTGCCAAAGAGAATGTTCTTTTTAGTCAGGTTTCACCTTCAGGGAAATACACTGAATTTTTTCAGTCTTTTTTTAAATTTCAGATTAATATGAGGGTACAGGTGATTAGGTTACATTGTTGGCATTTGTTAGGTAAGGTCCCTGTTGTAGTTGTGCTCCTCCCCCAAGAAGTATGCTATTATATCCTTACACTGTGCCCATTAGGTGGGAGCACACCAGTCTCCCTTCTTCCCCTCTCCTCACTGCCTCCTCCCCCTTTCCCAACTTGAGTTTGTGTTTTTCTTTCATGTGAGTGCATATTTCTTTGTCTACTGTTTCATATTAGTATTGAGCACATTGGATACTTGCTTTTCCATTCTTGTGATACTTTAAAGTAGAATGTTCTCCAACTCTATCCAGGTTAATACAAAAGATGTAAATTATCTTTTTATGGCTAAATAGCATTCCATGGTGTGTGTGTATATGTACACACACATATATATCACAGTCTATTAATTAATTCATGGGTTAATGGGCACCCGGGTTGATTCCGCATCTTGGTAATTGCACATTCAGCTGTGGTAAAAATTCTAGTGGAAATGTACTTATGATTATCTTATTCAGTTTCAAGTTTTAGTATGTAATCTATATCCCAATAACTCTCAAATATATATCTTTGTTCATATGGCTCACCTGAGCACCAACTGTTTACTTGCACTTAGATGTCAAATAAGAATGTAACAATGTTAAGATGGGACATTTCCTGTCATAGAATTATTGCTGAGAATTATAGGTAACAAGTATCCCATTATTCTAAAGACAAATATCAGCCCATCTATTCAAGACTTGTTCAGGTAGTGGTCCAAAATTGCTCTGCAACACTTAGCCCATGATTCACCTCTAGCCTGTATAAAAGAAGGCTAGGCACTTAAGAAAGAGTTTAGATTTATATATTTGTTTGGACATCATTTTTAGTGTTACACATGTCCTCTATACCATGACGGAAGGGGAGCCTCTCACTCATGTTAATATACAATGAGAACCATGTAGAACACTAGATGTAGGGTCTCTATAACTTGAGAGACACTGATAAGTACCTGATTTTTATCTGGAAAAACTTTCAAGGCCAGAGGCTGGGGCATAGTAGGGAAAGCAGGCTATAGTAGAAGCTAACCTCACTGCCAGTGTTAGGTGTAAGCACAGGAAGGTCACATGATGAGACTTTTCTTAAGAAGACTCTCTAAGACAGTGATTCTCAACCTGTGGGTCGTGACCCCTTTGGGGGTCTTCTGCATATAAGATATTTACATTATGACTCATAACAGTAGCAAAATTACAGTTATAAAGTAGCAATGAAAATAATTTTATGGTTGGGGGTCACTATAACATGAGGAACTGTATTAAAGAGTCATGGCATTAGGAAGCTTGAGAGCCACTGCTCTAAGAGGTCTTCTTGCCAGGAAGTCTATGTAGGTTGGACTGCTGTAGGCAGAAACTGAGATGACTGATAAAAGCAATCAGGTGGGACAGGTACAGTAGGCTGTCTCCATATTGGGAGAGAGGGGGTCCCCAAAGAACTCATGTAAGTTCCTTAAGAAAGAGCCACAATTATGACATATGCTACAACTTGGGAGTACTAATGCCACATTAGAACTGTTCTTTCCAAGAAAGACTGCCATCATGCCTCTTTTTTCACCCCTACCCTCTTTCCACTTTAGTGACGCTGCCAACAAAATTGTCTTTACACATTGCAGGTTTCTGAGCCTGTCATAACTAGAGGAGGAAGGAAACTTTAAATTACAAATGAAAAGTTTGATATTATACTGGACTAGACTTGTTAGAACTTAAAAATGACACTGTTTGTTAATACCTGAAGGTTATTGGAAAAGATTTGAGATTGGCCAAAGTGCAAGAAAGGGAGATTTCACATAATGCAAGTAAAAACAGTGGCCAGGCACAGTGACTCATGCCTATAATGCTAAACCTTTGGGAGGCTGATGCAGGAGGATCGCTTGAGATCAGGAGTTTGATAGAAGAGAGAGAAAGAGCAAGGCACCATTTCTACTAAACACAGGAAAAACTAGCCAAGTGTTGTGGTGAGCTCCTATAGTCCCAGCTACTTTAGAGGCTGAGGCAAGGGGGTATCTTGAGCTCAAGAGTTTGAGGTTGCTGTGAACTATGATGCAACAGCACTCTACCAAGGGTGACAAAGTAAGACTCTATCTCAAAGAAAAAAAAAAAAAGAAAGTATTTACAGTCATCTTAATACTTAATAGTACTTAATAGATTCATAAAATAAAGCTGCACATTTTCCTCTTGATTTTATGTGTCATGGCCCAAGTAACCAACCAGTTGCATAAGGCAAAATCATAGGAGTTGTCTTTGACTGCTTTCTCTTTTTTTCATATGTCCAACATTCAATCTATCAGCAAGCCCTGTTGACTGTCCCTCCATAAAAAATTCCAAATCTTCTTCTTTTATTTCTTGTAAAATCCAAATTCATCCAGATTCCTATAGCCTACACAGTTCTACATGTTATACTCTCTGCCTACTAATTAGTCCCCCATTCACCTTGCTTCAGCCACGTTTTACTCAACTATCACAAGATTATTTATGCCTCAGATCTTTTGCATTTGTTTCATCTGCTTTGAACATTCTACTAAATCTTTGCAAATCTTTCACAATTTTCATTAGTTAGATCTTTGCTTAAACACCTCTTCAGAGAGACCTTTCCTTAACACTGTATTTAAATTATCCCCTACCCCCTGCTTCATCATTTGCTAGCACACCACCATCTTTTATATCATTTATAAGAACTTGAGATTTTCTTATTTCTTTATGTGTTTAATGTGTCTAGAATATGATCTCCATGATCTGTGTTGTTTACTGCAGTATCTTTAGTGCAAAGGACAGTTCCTAGATTATAGTAGGAACACAAACATTAGTTAAATGAATGAATGCATTGAATTGATTGCCAGAAATCTTTCATTAGAGCAACCATAAGGCTGAGCTGGTGTGGGCAGCAAGCATATACAGCTTTTTATCAATAATTACAGGAACATGGTTGTCTTTGACCTTCACATTTTAATAATAGGTAAGGTTTTTGGAGTGCTATTCTCCAAATAACCTTTGGGAGACATCTCATTTTTGCAGGTCTACTGGGTCCTACCATCCAGGCTGAAGTTTATGACACAGTGGTCATAACACTTAAGAACATGGCTTCTCATCCTGTTAGTCTTCATGCTATTGGTGTATCCTACTGGAAATCATCTGAGGGTGAGTAAATTGTCCTTCTGTTGTTCTGTTATCCCAGGGAATAGAAGAGTGACATGTGTGTGCTTGGTGATGATGGCACATCTGGAATTGGATCCATTCTCTCTCTCTCTTTTTTTTTTTTTTTTTGAGACAAAACCTCACGCTGTCACCCTGGGTAGAGTGCTGTGGCATCACAGCTCACAGCAACCTCCAACTCTTGGGCTCAAGCAATTCTCCTGCCTCTGCCTCCCAAGTAGCTGGGACTACAGGCACCCACCATAACGCCCGGCTATTTTTTGGTTGCAGTTGTCATTGTTGTTTGGTGGGCCCAGGCTAGATTTGAACCCACCAGCTCAGGTATATGTGCCTGGCTACTTAGCCACTTGAGCCACAGGCACCAAGCCTGGATCCATTCTCTTAAGTACAAACCTACTGAAGGGTAATAATAATAACAATAGTAATAATGACTAACATGTATTGAGTTCAAGGTTGTACAGCTAGTAAGTGGTGGGATCAGGACTCATAGCTACTCCTATCCAACTCTAGAACTTGTACTCTGAACCACTGTACTGTAGTGCAGGGACTCATATAAATAATGTTGAATTTTGTTTATGTGAATAGAAATTTCCATGGAGTCAATCAAGTATGACTGGATCCAAGGATTCAGCATCAACTTATTTTAAAAAAAAGGCTACTAGTAAATTTGAAATTATACATGTGGCTCACACTATATTTCTATTGGGCACTCATCTATACACTTACAATGAAATGTTGTTTGGCATACATTGAAGCTGCTGTTTCTGATAGAGTGGCTTATCTCATATTTGGCTGGACAAGTTCTTTGGCCCAAGGAAAACTAGGTCCAACTCATTCCTGCAAAGGAAGCAAGCTTTCTGGGTTGGGTGACTTACCTTGATTAAATATGTTTCCCACATATTCCACCGGCAATCAAGAAGCTGTCCCTAGCTTAAATAAAAATCACAAATCACATGGAATGGTATGAATAAGTTCATAATATCTCACCTACTGCTACATTTCCCCTAATCCACTCACATTCCCTCTCTTCAACACAGTTACAGTGTTTCACATGTTCTTGGCATCTCATCAAACTGCCAACAACATTCCAAACCACCTTAGTCCTAGGAAAGGGTATTCTTTTCCTAATGAAATATTTGAAACAAAGAAAGGTACAGAGGCTCAGTGTCCGGAGAACGGTGGTTACTGGACCAGCCACATACACTGAGGGTAGCAGGTTCGAAGTTGACCTGGGCGAGCTAAACAATAATAACAACTGCAACAAAAAATAGCCAGGCATTGTGGCAGGTGCCTATAGTCCCAACTACTTGGGAGGCTTAGGCAGGAAAATCACTTAAGCCCAAGAGTTTGAGGTTGCTGTGAGCTGTGACACTACAGCACTCTACCCAGGGTGATATGGTCAGACTCTGTTTCAAAAAAAAAAATGTCTGGAATACAATCTTACAGCATTTACTGAAATAAACAGTACAAAGCATTTGAGTGTAAAAAAGAAATAAAAAGAAAAAGTACAGTGTCAGGGCCCGCGACGCTCGGCCTATCTAACTGTCCAGATGCAGACCTCAGTGCTACCTTGCTCAGAATCAACTCCCGTTAGGGTGCTGGAGGGCAATTCATCTGAGAGAGAGAGACAGCCTTCCAGGGAGAGAAACAGTCTTAGTAGGAGAGCATATCTTAGCAGTCTTCATAGAAGGCCGCTGGGCAGGTGCCCTCCGAGCAGAAGGAGCAAAAGAGTTTGAGTGAGTGAATCCATGAGAGAATGAACGAATGAATCCGGACTAACCTCTCCTGCAGCTACTTATAGAAGTGATCCCATGGCTATTTACACCACAGGTGTGGAGACTGCCAAGCACTGATGCTTGTGCTCTTGTGTTTAAGGATAGCCGAATCCCTTCTTCATGCCCTTATCACCAAGGTGTTGTCCAGATGTTATATCACAGGTATTTCTTATAGTTACAGAGTGTTCAAAGCTTAACTCTCACTTCTCCTTCCCTTGAATCATCTGGTCTCCTACAGTACAGAATATGATATATCAAACAAACATGTACTTATCACTTCACTTTGCCAAATCTTAATATTTTGTCACCTTTGCTTAATTTATTTTAAGAAATTAAACATTGCATATACAGTTGAAGTTCCTTCTGTACCCTTCATGTCACCTTCATCCCTATTTAAAAGTATTCACTATCCAGAATTTGATATCAAGTCACAGTCACACAGATACACTAACCACATACTTCATCCTCAGTTCCAATACTATTCCCCACTAAAAAGAACGAGGGCTTCTTGGAGAAATGAGTAGTTCTAATTCTGAGAGAAAGAAATTATGAAATGATTCTGGGAAAAAAACTTTTATGTTAAAAAACAAGAAAGTGTTCCAAAAATGATGGAGAAATTGCAGAAGGACATGGTTACTGGTACAAAAGAGCTCTCATTGGCCAATTTCAGAACAATTGAGCATTGAAAAAAAATAGATCACATTTTAAAAGAATCCTTATATTATAGGGATACATACTGAAATACTCACAAATAAATGATTGGTGACTGGCTGATATGGAATTGGGACATTTGTAGCGTGCCAAAATAACATACTAGATATTTCTTTCTGATTAAAGGTAGAAAATGTTAACTTTACAGTGGAGGTATTACATTAATCCAGAGGTCACTAAGGATGGGCTAGTTGGATATTATCTACCCTTGATATGGCACAATATGAGGTACTTAGCATTACTTTTGATGTATTTTAGCCAAAAAATCATTTAACTTGAATCTAATAATGACTTAGATCTAAATACCAGTTTGTGTGCTATATAGCAGATAGGGGAAAAAGCTAAACAACCCCACAGGGAAGCAATCATTCAAATCAACAATGTGAGATATTTTATAGGAGTAGAAGCCAAATTTCTTTCAGCAGGTGAGTGACATAAAAAGGGACTACTCCAGACTAAAGGAGACTGTGGGCCTCAACGATTATATGCAATGTGCAGTCATGGGGTTGCATTCTGATTTGAACAAATTAAACTATAAAGGATGCCTTTCAGGCAATTAAGAAAATTTGAATATTGCATTGATGTTAGGTAATATTAAGGAATTTTTGTGAATTTTATTAAATGTGGTACTGTCATTTTGTGTAGTAAAATAGTTTTCTTTTTTCTTTCTTTTTTTTGTAGAGACAGAGTCTCACTTTATCCCCCTCAGTAGAGTGCTGTGGCGTCACACACTTCACAGCAACCTCCAACTCTTGGGCTTAGGTGATTCTCTTGCCTTGGCCTCCCAAGCAGCTTTTTTTTTTTTTTTTTTGAGAAAGAGCCTCAAGCTGTCACCCTGGGTAGAATGCTGTGGCGTCACAGCTCCCAGCAACTTCCAGCTCCTGGACTTAAGCAATTCTCTTGCCTCAGCCTCCCAAATAGCTGGGACAACAGGTGCCCACCACAATGCCTGGCTTTTTCTTTTTTGCAGTTTTTGGCCAGGGTTGGGTTTGAACCCACCACCTCTGGTATATGGGGCCAGTGCCCTATTCCTTTGAGCCACAGGCACCACCTATGCCCGGCTATCTTTTGGTAGTTGTCCTTGTTGTTTGGCAGGCCCAGGCTGGATTCGAACCCATCAGCTGTCTGGTGTATGTGACTGGCACCTTAGCTGCTTGAGCTACAGGCACCGAAGCAATAGTTTTATTTCTTAAAGATGAATCTGGGCTCGGCGCCTGTGGCTCAAGTGGCTAAGGCGCCAGCCAAATACACCTAAAGTGGGGTTCGAATCCCCAGCCCGGGCCCGCCAAACAACAATGATGGCTGCAACCAAAAAATGGCCAGGTGCTGTGGCGGGCGCCTGTAGTCCCAGCTACTTGGGAGGCTGAGGCAGGAGACTCGCTTGAGCCCAGGAGTTGGAGGTTGCTGTGAGCGTGATGCCATGGCACTCTACCCAGGGGGATAGCTTGAGGCTCCGTCTCAAAAAAAAAAAAAAAAAGATGAATATAGGAGTACCTTATCATGAAGGGTAAAATAAATCATTAAAATACACCATGAAAAAAAAGTGTTGAAAGAATCATACACATAACAAAAAATGTTAAATCCCTCAGAATAATTGGGGTTGAATGTAGGAGGCACCTGTGAGAAATACCTTGGCAATAAGGGATTGGGGGAGGGATTTAATATCATTGGCTCTCTCATTTAGTGAGACGCCGGAGAGCATGAAAGTATGTACATCATTGGTTAGCAGTCTCCACACCTGTGGCATAGGTAGCCACGAGATTACTTCTATAATAGCTTCAGGAGAAATCAGCACTCCCCTACTAGGACTGCTGCTAAGAGATTGCTGCTGAGGGTGGTGCCTGTGGCTCAAGGAGCAGGGCGCTGGCCCCATATGCCAGAGGCGGTGGGTTCAAACCCAGCCCTGGCCAAAAACTACAAAAAAAAAAAAAAACAAAAAAAAACAAGAGATTGTTGCTGAGATGCTCGCTCCTACTAATATTGACTGTGACTTCTAAGGTGCTTTGGCACCTGAGACCTGAATGAGACATACCCAGAGCAAAAATGTATAGCAGTCCGCGTCCTGACAGTTTAATGGGTTGGGGCCGGCGTCTTGGTTCCGACAGTTGAAAAAAGGAAAAGAAAAAAATATTACATAATTTATGTTAAGCACATGAAAAAGGAATACACAAGTACATCTATTTTTTAAGATTCATCTCAAATTCCACCTCCTTCATCAAGCATTACTGAAGAGTAGGAAGCATGTTTACTAATTTTTACCTGCTTGACTATTTGCTCCATGAGCATAGAAACTTCTGTCTTTGTCTTATTTTTATTTTCAGCTTATAGCTGAATCTGGTAAAAAATAAAAAATGCAGTACATGTTTGTTGAATACATAGGTGAATGGTTCTGCATTGCATTATAATTTCACCTTTATATGTCTATGCCCTCTATCAAATATAGTGTTGGCCCTCCAGGGAAAAATTTACTTTAAAAATAGTTTTTAAAATCCCTATATGTACCCCTCCCTGACCCTAACCAGAGCCTGTCAAAGAGTCTGTGACAAAGTACATGCCCAATGAATATTTGTTGTTGAATTGACTTGAATTAGGCAAAAAGAGGCAATGATGGAGGTAATGTTATTGGTTGACAGAATCTGGGATCTCAAGGAAACCTATTTTTTTTAACTGCTCTTGAATTCCTCCAGAATATATGAGGCTTCTCCCCATTTATAGTTTCTACTTGTTTGTCTTTCAAATTAAGATGCAGAAACTCTATTTCTTATGTAAAATCTATTGGTGACAATAAACTCGGTATGTTTCTTTGAGTAGATGATGGGCATAGAAAGGGTAATTTTATCCTTTATTGTTTTAGGAGTGGAATATGATGACCATACTAGCCAAAGGGAGAAAGAAGATGATAAAGTCTTCCCTGGTGAGAGCCATACCTATGTCTGGCAGGTCCTGAAAGAGAATGGGCCAATGGCTTCTGACCCACCGTGTCTGACTTACTCATATCTTTCTCATGTGGACCTGGTAAAAGACTTGAATTCTGGCCTTATTGGAACTCTTCTGGTATGTAAAGAAGGTAAGTGTAAGAAAGAGTAGGATTGAGATGAAGTACAAACAGCTAGATGTATCCATCTTAAAGAAGCTTCTTTCCCCTAGCAATATGTCCATGAAAAGAATAATCCAGTTTCTGAGAGAAGCAAATATCCATTCTATATAACCACAATAAACTCTAAGGTAGGATTAATAACAACCAAGTTCCAGAATTAGTACATTCTTCTCAAAGCATTGCTATTTTGCACTTCAAATCTATAGGCTACATCAGTAGGGATTTCTACTATCCTCTGTATTTTGCAAAGTTTGGGTTAGCTTCTTTGAAAGTTCAATGGAGGTGAATACATCCAAGTGTGAGATCAATGGCATATAAACTGATTCGGGTGGTTAGTTTGTCATCTATAAGCCAAAAGTATGTACAAATCTAAGAAAAGTAACCATGTATTTATATTTATAACTTATTACTCTAAAAATATTCCTAATTTTAATCAAGCCTGTTTTTTTATTGTTGGGGACTCAATGAGGGTACAAGAAACCAGGTTACACTGATTGCATTTGTTAGGTAAAGTCCCTCTTACAATTGTCTCTTGCTCTCATAAGGTGTGTCACACGCTGAGACCCCACCCCCTCCCTACTTCCCTCTGCTCTTGTTTTCCCCCACCCTTCCCCCTTCTCTCTCTCTACTCTCCCCTTCCCCCCAACCCTACTGTGTACTAGGTCATTAATTGTCCTCATATCACTGAAACTGGACCCTCACCTTTCTCCACTCACAAAAATTGATTCAAGATGTATAAAAGACTTAAATTTAAGGCTTGAAATGATAAAAATCCTCAAAGAAAGCATAGGAAAAACCCTGGAAGATATAGACCTGGGGAAAGACTTTATGAAGAAGACTTCCACAACAATTGCTACAACAACAAAAATAAACAAATGGGACTTAATTAAACTGAAAAGCTTCTGTATTGCTAAGGAGATAACAACCAAAGCAAATGGACAACCTACACAATGGGAAAATATATTTGCATATTTTGAATCAATCAAGCCTGTTTTTAATTTATACCTTAATAGCTAAACTTAATTAGGAAAATAAATTTTGCATGATTTCTTTTAAACCCTATCTTTTATGGTGAAATCAACTTCACTGGACCTTTTTGTTATTGTTGTTCTATTTATCTGTTACGGGATAATTCCACGATTTAGTGACTTAAAACAATAATCATTCATTATCTCCCATGTGTTTTGTGGATCTCATGGAATTTGGAACTATCATGACTTGGCAGCCTATTTCAGGAAATCTCATAGGGTTGGAGTTAAAAAGTGATCAGAGGTGAGATAATCCCAAAGGTGACATTATTAATATGTCTGGGACCTGAGCTTGAAAGATTCAAATAACTGGGGCTGTCAACCACATGGCCTTTCTAGCATGGGTGCATCTAGGTAGCCAGATTTTCTTTATGGTCCCAGGAGAGAGCCCATTGGAAGCTGTATTGCCTTTACTACTCCATCTTCAGAAATCACACATCTTTCATTCTTTCTGTTAGAATTCATCACTAAGGCCAGTACCTGGAGAGTGCTCCACATTTTGATGGCAAAGAATTTTTTAACACAAACCATCATACCCTTTCTGAATGATGACGATGAATGTGATTTTTTTTTAAAAAGAGAGGGAGGTGGAGAAGACCACTTTCAGTTGGAAATATTATTTTTCATATACTGAGTTCAGTTTTATAGTCAGAAAATTAATGACAAAGGGCTACATTTTTTTCTTACCCTCAAGTAGTTGATGAATAAATGCCTCCTCCTAGTGGCAATTTCCTATGATGAGATTTTAAAATAGAAGATAAATGCACTTAACTTCTTTTTCAGGGAGTCTGGCCAAGGAAAGGACACAGACCTTATACAAATTTGTGCTACTTTTTGCTGTATTTGATGAAGGTTAGTGAGCTTCAATCTGAATTTTGGACTTCTGAATCCTCTGCTACCATTCAGAGGAGGTAATTATAAAAGGTTGTAAACTCTTCAGGAATAAAGGAAATGGGGTTGAAAATGAATTTTAAAAAAAGTAACCTAAATTCCATCAGAAGCTATGAGGTAAGAAGACAGAGAAGCTGGGTCACTGGTTGGCCTCATTCTTCCTCATTAAATCCATCAACAAAGACTTTAGGCTCACCTTTCTAAATACTGTCTTACTTTCATCTAAGTGTGCAAACTTTGGCAAGTTACTTAACCTTTCTGTGTCTCAGTTTCCTCAAATCTAACATTGAAATAATAGTGCCCCCCAAATATAATCATGTATAATCACTAATAACTTCATAATTGTGTTCTCTTTCCATTTACACTGCCATCTTCTTCTTCTTCTTCTTCTTTTTTTTTTTTTTTTTTTTTTTT